TTTGCTTTCCGCCATGCACCCAAGTACAGGCCGCTTCATTTAGGAGTGATTCTCCTTGAAGGTAGCCTGACGTTGGACGTCGCGCCGCGCGAGGCTCACAGTACGTTCGCCTAACGGGACTCTGGCAATTTGCCATGCATCAACCAATACTACGGTGTCCTTTTTTGTGTTTTGAAATCTTATTTCCTTGTTTTTTTTTTCGGGATTCTTGACTGGAACCTGACAGAATGCCAAAGCTTGACCGTCGCAAACTGGGCGCGGTTTTTTTTCGCGGCGCGGCTGCGCAGCCCCAGGCGGAACACTCCTAATTATAATTTGAATTGCTGGGTGGTGTGCAATTACACCATGTGCACATGGGATCTAATTTGTGCAGGCGTTCTTTTTCCAAGAGACCCCAATCTCGTAAGTACCGAGAACAGCAAATGCTGCAGCAGTGGTAAATCTTGGTTTTGGCTGCATTGGCGATGTCATTGACAAGAATGAAAGCGCTGCTAGCGGTAGACCAAACATTATTGACGACGATGTCTGCAAGATTTTACGTGTCTGAAGAGTTCTAATGTTAGGCATTCATACCTTCGTAAAGCCACTCGTCTCGATATATACGAGAAAGCAAGTGCCACCGTATATGCCCAAAACACGTGCGGGTCCATCAGTCATCCTTGTCTGCTTTCGCGAGTAGGATATTCGTTGAGATTGTAAGTAAATGAACTTCACTCCACTTTTTCGCTTTTATATTGACTTTATCACTTATAATATAAATATAATGAAGATACCGTACTTAAGACGTAATACATGACGTGAATGCAAAACAAAAATACAGCAGATTTGGGCTGGAGACCAGAGCGGTTAAAGGTGTAGATCGTCCTACAGATGGTAACATGGGAACATAGGCTGTGGATCCCATCCAAACGTTTGTGTCACCACTATTCAAATCTGCAACATCTTCTGTTCAGGTGCTACATCTCGATCGTCGTGATTCCTATCATACCTAGCCTTTTCTAAACTACTGAAAGAAGTTATTTTGAAAAGCATGAGTTTGTGGAAAAAGAGTTTCTTCGAACCTTCTTTGATTGGATCATATAAACTCAATTCAATACGGCCGAGTAGTCAGGATTTCACAGTTCCCCAAAGCACTTACTCAATCTCCTCGATGGAAAGAGCAACAAGTTCACTAGAGTTAGAAAGGAAAACAAGGAAGCAATCCCCACCGCATCCAAATAGTGGAGGGAACACACAAAGG